TATTCGAAACTGCCAACCTGAGTTTGTGGCAGGCAGCCAGGCTGCCCACAGCCAGCAGGGCAGCCCCTGCCCGTGCCCTGCCGGTGCCCCAGCACAGCCCTGCTGCTCCCAGGACAGCCCAGGTGTCAGCAAGCACTGCCATTAATAAATTTCAGGAGTACGGATGGTGTGCTCAGCAAGTACAGAACGTGGACTTGGCCGGGACAGGAGGAGCAGACACTGAGCAAACATCCCTGCCCACAGCTCTTATCATGGTTAATTCCCTAGAGTAGCCTCTCATCGAGGCTGTGATCACCGACTGGGTTTTGAACTTGCCAGTTTGCAGCGTTTGGCTGCAGGAGTGATTGCAGGATCAGCTCCTCCGGGGAAAATGCCACCACTGCCCTCTCCTGTCCTTTCCTGGTCTTCTGCCTCCCTTCCTGCTTTTCCCGGTGTTGTTAACTCTGGACCTGCAATTTCCTGGTGCCTGAGACACAGGAGAATGCTCAGGAGATTTCTGGTGCCCTCTCCTTTGGGAACAAGAACTGTCTCTGCCCTCTGTCTGTGGTGTGGCACAGGGCACCAAGGTGGTGCCAGGGCAAAGGGCTGCCAAGGCAGTGACAGCAGTGCCTGCCCAGCTCCCAGCTCTGCCAGGGCAGTGACACAGAGCTGGCAGTGTCAGCTTGGTGCTTCTTCTGGCATTTCTTACCATGTCAACCCTGAAAACCTCTTTAAAGCTCATGGCACAACTTTGGGCAAGCCTGTGTGCTTCATGGAGCAAGAAGATCAAGGTTTGGGTGGCATCCCCTCTGCCACTGATCCTTGAAGATTTGGCTTTGTGCTGAATACTGAGTTTGGCTGAGAAATCAACAAGTTACAAAATCTGGGTAAATCTGAAAAATCACAGGCTGAATATGCCACTAAACCAGAGACCAGTGAGCATACAGAGAGAATACAGGCACTGATCATAAACACAGCTGAGCACAAATACAGCTCATTCTGAGTCCTTGCACGGACACAAGACCTTAAAGTGTGCCACTCTGCAAGGCTGTGCCACAGGGACCTCAGTGCTGTGCCTGCCCTAAAGCTGCCTGTCTCAGGCTCCAAACTCCATTGGAGAGCTGTTACACAGACTACTGGATATTTAGGAAAATATCAATCAGCCATAATACAGCCAGAGTTTCATTTTGTCACACATAAAAAGGAGACACTTAGCATTTCAGTCTAGCCTTCACCAAAATAGCTGGGAAACAGCAGATTCCGCATTCCACCCGATGGTAAAACAAGATACAGGTGTGCAGAAGGTGTGTAAAGGTATGTCCCTTCTGCCTGTGGGAGGCTGGCCAAAACCATGCAGATGGTATTTCATGCTGGGACATACCCTGAGCATCACCCACTATAGGGACCCACTTCACCTGGCAGCAGAAATGCAATGAAAAAGAAGCTATTTCTGGTTATTCCCAATCCCATAAGCAGGAGCTCCCAAAGAGGGAGGAATGTCAAGAGATCATTTCTGAGCACATGAGCAGCAAAGCTCAGTGCACAGCAGCCAAGAGAAGGCAGCTGAACCCCGGTTGTGTTTCTGGGAAAGGAGAGCCCTGTGACACAATCCCAAAAATGTCACCTGCCCTTAGCTCATTAGAAGCAAAGTGAAGGGGACAGAACAGCGACATCCAAAACTCCCAGCCCTCCCAGCCCAACAGAAGTTTCTCTGAAGCAGATTTATAGAGCCAAATGCTGAAAGACGTGGAAGGGAATATTATGGTCCTTTAATTTGTCCTGAATACAGAGGCTGTAATTCTTTCAGGGCTAAACTAACACACATGTTCTCAAAATGGATCTAATTCTATTGTGATTGTTCAAAACCTGGTGAAGCCACTGCTGTCCCTGATAAACAACTACAATGTTTAATTACTACTGGAAAGTTGTATATTATTTATTTAAAAGAGACATTTTTTCACTTCTGCTTCTAGCATGAAACCTTGTCCTGTCTTTGTCTGCACAACTGAAATGCCCCAACTATCTATCACATGACTTTGACTGCAAACATCTACTCAGGGTGGTCAAGTAATTTCTAAAATCCTTCTTTTGAGATGAATTTAGCTTCCAAAATTTATTTACCAGCTACTGGATTGTTTTTGTCTTTTCAATCCCCTTTGGAATTATTGCATCCTGGTCTGAAAGTGGACATCAGAACAAGACATTGTATTTAACAAAGAGCATTCCTAACACGGAATCATTTTTCTGGAGGTCTAATGGCTTTGTGGCCCATGAACAACTGTGGAACTTCAAGGGACAGCCTGACTCTTCAGCCACTCCTGTTTCCTGATGCTGGGTGTTGAAATTGTGTTGTTTTGGGGGGTTTCTTTGTTGGTTTTTTTCTTTCTTTTCTTCTCAGACTTTTTTTTGTGAGCTATGAAAAGAAGCTCTTCATGAAAAGTTAGAGGAGAACAATCTCCCCTGGCCTTCCTCCAGTTCCTGGAGGTAAAAGCATGACAAGCAGCTTTATTCCATAAAACTGACAAATAATCTCTGCCAGATTTTTCCCAATTAGGAGCTATCAGTCTTTACAATGAAACCCTTTATTTGCCATAAACAAAGTCCAATTATACCTCCCTGGAAAAGGAGGAGCAGGTGCTCCCACAGCAGAACATGAGCACTGGTGGGGTGGAAGGGCTCTGGGTTTAACTTAACCCGCTGCATTCTGCACTCCCTGTGTTGCAATAGTGATGCCCTGGCTCTGCATAACTGGCCACAGAGACACTGAGGGGCTTTGGTGGTCCCAGCACCCAGAAGCAGAGAACACCCAAACATTCCCAGCCAAGGATTGATTCTCCAGGAGGTTCTGGCACCGTTCATAGGCAATGAATCCCCATGCTGGAATCATCGCTGGGGCCCTTACAGGGCTCGGTTGCTCCAGGCTCTCTGCACATATTTGACTCCCTGCTGCCTTCAGGGTGGATGAGCCTCAGGGAAGGACTCTCCACCCTCACAGGGGAACATAACAGTTCTGGGTGCCTTGGGAAAACCTGGGAAATGGCACTCAGAAAGTGGCCACGCTCAGGGCTTCTCCTGAAAAGCACCTCCTTTCTGTGCTACCTAAAACACACCCCTGGACTGGCCCAGGAGGGAATTCCCTATGCTTGAACATTATATTCTGAGGTTTATTTATTAAACACAGAGTATTTGCATCATAGCTGTCATTTTAATGTCCAATAATTCCACTGTGAAATCATTCTTATTAAGATACAGAGCCACAAAACTTTTAGGGACTCTCTTCTGTCACGGAATGTGATTCACAATCTATCCATACAGGCCATGATTCATTTGGGCTGGCTTTTATTATTATGAGTCTTATTTTAGCAACCTGGTTGTCCTTAATCCATTTGTCTTTGATTTGCCTGCAAAACTCATGCATGGGATAACCATAACCCGTCACATAAAGCTCCCATTGACCCTCGTGTTGGGGGTTGGTTTTTATTTCAGCTTATTGAAAAACTTCAGTGCATGTTTTCTCATTTTGTATTTTCCATTTGACACATTAGAGAAGTAAACTTTATGTTGCATGTGCTTTTAGAATAAAACTCTTTTTCTCATTTCTGTTGAGAAGGAGTCTCTTCACTGAAGTGGAACGTGGTCAGCGTTTCTGAGGTGCAAGGCCACAGCTGGCATCACACAGCCCAGCATGGCCTGGTCCCTCTGGCACTGCAGACTCGCGTGTGAGCCCTCTGCAGCTGGAGCCACACATCTGGGAGCCAGAATTAGAACCAGAAGTTAAGCAAGCTGCAGCTCCCCAGCTATGTAGCCAGAATTTCCAAAGTGACAGGATGTTGTGGTATCTCCCTGAAAGCTGTCCTCACCTTGCCCATGAATTACAGTTCCTGTAATTTTTGGCCACTTGGCATCACAGGATGCCATGATGTCAAACAGTTTCACCAAGAGAATCACAGTGGGACAACTCATCTTGGCTTGTGGGGACTAAGAAAAAGCTTGCTAATCACTGGTTTACAGCGTGCATGTCAAAACATCCACTACAGCTGGGATTTGTGTGACTGAGCTTCTCCTAGCAAGAAACTAAATATAGATTTAAATGCACTGGGTAACGTACTGAGCCAAAGTAAAAGTGTCCTGAATCAAAAATGGCAATGGAATGGGAAACATACAGCGTTCCCATTGATCCAGTTGGATTGCTGCTCCTACTGGGCCAGTGAAAGGAATAGTAAAAGAGAAGTGGTGAGATCTAAGCTATGTAAGATATTGCTATAAGCAATATATGAGCAGGCTGAGTTTGCACACATTGTAAAGACTACAGGAGTTGGCAATCCTTTTGTTCTTTGCTGCTCTTTGCTGCTCCTTGCTGCTCCTTGCTGCTCCTTGCTGCTGCAGCCCAGCACCACAGCTGCTCTCCCACAGCCATGGGCAGAGAACGAGCCAGGGGAGTTCATCCCAAACAAGCCAAGGGCTGCGGCACAGCACACATCTCTCCCCTTCCCTTTCCCTAACAAAGCAAGCTCAGATTTCATGAGGTTTCCCACTCTGGCCAGAGCAAGGTGTTTATGCCATGGGTGTTCTCATTTTGTGCAGAACAATGGCCAGACCATCAGGACTGAAGTGCTGGATGTCCCTGCTCGACATGACGTGGACATTGCAGAGTGTCACAGAACAGCTTGTGAAAATTCCTGCAGACTTCCCAACGAAAACAGAATTTACAAAGGATCCTCTCGCTCTCAAGCACTCCAGGCAAGAGCATGGCATTATTCAGAGAGGAAACATACCCACAAAGCAGACAAAGGACACTGCCTTTAATCCTGCTCATGCCATTAACACCCAGTGGAACTTCAGAGAGATCATTTAAATCTCATTTTTATTCAGTTTGCTATGGATGTCTGTGACAGGCAGTATCTGTGTGATTTGTCGCTAGTTTGTGTGTTGTTTGCCTTTAAAAAACAAGTGGCTGGGTCTGAAGAAATCCTGTGGAGGGAGTGAGAAATTGCTTCTCCCCTTGAGCAGCAATTGAGGCCGCTCAGACAGAAGCTCCCAGGGCAGAAGAAAGAACTCGCCAGACAAATGGGGAGAGACAGGCACAGCAAGGAGCCCAGAGAGGGACGATTGAGCAAGCACCAGGCTCAGAGGTGATGGGAACACAGGGGAGGAGCTGCTGCCCAGGCCTGGGCAGGGGAACTTGTTTATAAGTTCTTTTATTTCTGTTCTCTCTTAGCTAATTTGGAGTTTTCTCCATTGAAAAGGTTAAGCATTTTAATTTCTATTCTAACACGGCTTGGCTTTTTTGGATTTGCTTTGTTCTGGCTAGTCTGGGTCACTTGGTAACAAGTTCAAAAAAGTTGCCACATTTCAGAGGGTGACTCAAAGGCTTCACCGGTGATCAGTGAGTCTGAGTCCTGCAGATGGAGGAGCCTGACTGCTCTGGCCTCGGCCTCTGCTGGCAGGAGCACAAACTCACAATGCTGCTCCTTCTAAGAAGTATTAGTTTGTATCATGATAAGAGTCTTCACTTTTCATTTCTTCTCTCTGAAACTTGTTTTTTTGGTGCTGGTTTCAATTACTGAGATGACACGAAAAAGCTGCAGTGAGTTTCTGACAGAGCTGGGTGGAAGTGAGGACGAGGGTCTGGGCTTTTCAAAGCCTTCCCTCGCTGCCCTGCTCTCCCTGGCTCTTGGAGCAGGCTGACAGGCTCGCACTCGATGCCCTGCAGCATCCAGCCCTGGCTGCCTTTTCCCCCAGAGACACGGGGCAGCATGTTGAAAGACCCACCAGAATTTTACAACCCAGACCAGAAAATGGAGCATTTGAAGAGCAGATCTCCAGCTGATGTTAACAAGTGACTGCAGGCACTGAGGAGACGCAGCTCCTGTTCAGGGCATGGAACTGAGTCCTGGGAGATGATTCAGCTCTCCTTTTGCCACTGCTGTGTCAGATCACACGCTCAGGCTCCCTGGTGGCCCTATGGGTTATTCCTTGTACAATTTCTGGAACAGTTTTACTTGGTTCCACATTGTTATACAGAGATTTACCACAGCTTTCCTGCAGGACCCGGTCAGACATAGTCTAGCTTATGCCACAGCTAAATAATGAAAGTAACTCAAAGTTCACATTACACTTACAAGAAAAGCCATTGTGTTCCTCACTCATCTGATATATAAATCCTGTTAGAAAGTTTTTCAGGTGCCTTTTTAAAGGCTGACCACTGTGAACCAGGATGCAATGAAGCACTGTGAAACAGCAGCAGGTTAGATGCTGCATTATGAAATACCAGCAGGTCAGAGCTGCACAGAGATCTGCCTCACCAGCTGCCACGGTTGCATGAAAATTGCTCAGTTTTCAAAAAACAAAGTCTCATTTTTCCTGCAAAACACATTTCCTCCTCTAGCTTCCTATGGAACTGTAAACTCTTAGCTTTATAGCTTTATAAAGTTCTTTTTTCCAGCATAAGCAAACATTAGGGTGAACTTGCTAGAACAACCAGGGCTTGTCTTGCCAATCAGTATGAAGACAGCATCAAACATTCTAGCAAAATGCAAAACCAGCACACTCCTCAAATCTGCAGATATTTTTACAACACGAGAAGCAAAATAGAAGTGGAACTTCCAAAGAAATGCCCTGAGGAGAATTCAGCTGAATCCTTCCCTATCTTCACTAGAATCTTATCACAGCATTCACTACATTCCAGGTTTTTACACCACAAATGACCTGGGCTGATTTTTAGAATATTTGGCTCTCTATTCAGCAGCAGCCCGATTAAATGTAGCTGTGTCAACAAATATGGCACCTGTGCAGAGCACTGAGACGGCACAAATGCACAGACACAGCAGCAGTTGATGATCAATACCAATCTCTCCACAGAAATACACTTCACCCCTTGCTTTCTCATCAAAGATCTCTTGGATCCCTTATTCTTTTATTCAAGATGGAAGCAAAAACCAAACCCACTTTGATAAATCAAAAAATGAGCATTGGATAAAATTGGAACACCTTGTGTTTATTCTTTAGTTTCTCTCACACACGTTTCAGTGTGGGGCTGTTCCCCTTGCACAAAGGGAATGCTGAGAGTGCCTGGCAGGTGCTGTGGCTGCCCCTCCTTGCCTGTGCTCCCCGCAGCACCCACACAGCCCCTCGGCAAGGAGGGTCCGAGCCCTGCCCTGTGCACGCAGCCCTGCAGAGGGCAATGCCCCGAGAGGGAGCAGCCCTGGCTGTGGCACAGAGCTGGGCTCTCAGGGCTCCGTGTGCAACACCTTCACACAATCATTAACTCTTTTTGTTCCTTCTTGTATAAAACCTAAATTACTGTGAACAGTGAAACACCACAGGAAAGTGTGCTGGCCCAGATACAGACATTTTCATTCCAGGTGGCATTGTTTCCCCTGACTGCAGGCTGTTGGTGTCTGGTTCACCTTTCACTTCTAATTCAGTATTCCATTTCCCCTGCAGTTTAACAGACAAAGAGTCTTCAGGCTTCTCCACAGTAAACCTTTCAGAAAAACTGCTTTGTGGTTTAGATTAGGGGAATGACAAACCAGGAGAACACAAACAGACCTGTACAAGGGGACAGCATACATTTGATACACATTTAATGTGCCAAAACATAAATGGAGGTTACAGACAGTCTTGGATCATGAGATATTTCATTAGGTACAAACAGGAAAAGATTCTTCTGCCCCCAGAATAAGGACATGGGTGCTTAAGCAGAACCCCTGAGCTTTAGTTCCCAGTGAGATAAGGGAGGGCTCTGGCTCACAGCACAGCCCCATCTGACGGAGCACTGACCTCAGTGAGGGCAATGAGAAAAGGAGCCACCCTCTGCTCTGCAGTTGCTAAGTCTGAAAAGAAACATTCAGTTTTGCCTTACATAAAAACACCCTTAAATCTCAGATTTGGCTTTTTTGGTTTTTTTCAGGTGATGCACACACAGCCAGCCTGTGGGAGAAGGAGGCTGTGTGAGAGGAGCAGAACAACCAGGACTGGAGCAGGAGCATCCTGAGTGCCTGCAAAACCATGGTGCCACCAGGCAGGGAGGGACCAGCAGGGAGAGGGGACACGGGGCCGGCTCCATCCAGAGC